CGGCTTGAAATTGGAATGGGGTTTTTGGTAAGGGATGTAGTAGCTAGAAAGGAGCTGAGGTTGATGGTATCTTCAAGCATTAACCCGTTGTGGCTTCTAACGTTTTACTCCATTACACTCGGCGAGCACGAGGAATTTGGTTGAGAGGTTGAAAAAAAAAAGAAAAAGAAAAAGAAAAAAAGAAAAAAATAAAGAAAAAAAATTCGTCTATCCCTCTTTCTCTCAGTCTCTCTTTTCCAAAGAGCCATTCACGAAAAATCCTAATTTCGCCATCTAAATGCATCCGGCGCCATTGCGGTTAAATCGTCGCGACACTTCCGAGTAGTTCGTGCTGTCGAGGTTGGTTCCTCTCCGGTAGTTTCTGATATAATAAAGCCATTCCTAACTTAATCCTCTTCCTCTTCCTCTCTTTCTCTCTCTCGCTCTCTCTCTTCTTTCTTTCCCTTCTTTACCTCTCTTAGCTAGCTTAGATCTTTCCGCAAGTCTTCTTCTGTCGCTCATTAAAGCACCAACGAGGATCGAGAGTTCTTCGTTCCTCTTTCCGCTTTCGAGTACTAGAGTCTTAGCCGATCGATCTCTTCGCGGTATCCGAAGATGCGGTCGTGTATCGAATATGAGAGATTTCAGTTCGAATCAATCCACGTTCAACAAAGTGGAAAAAGAATAGGATGGAATAAAAAAGAAGGAGAGAGAGAGAGAGAGAGAGAGAGAAAAAGAAAGAACTTCTTGAGTGATCAGGTTTGTGGAACACGGAGAGTGGTTCGAAAGTCGACTCGAACGAATAGCTTCGTCATTTTAATTTTGATGGATCACGATAACGCGTTGTTGCATTTTTGGTGGGTAAATATTCGATTTAAGGATGAACGTCACGTACCAGTCATACGTCATACGTCATACGTCATACTTCGTGCTGCCATAGTATTTCTTTTTGTAATTACATCGAGTTCGACATTGCTATACGAGTCTGTTTAACTATGGTATATGACGAATATCGAACGATTAAAATTATGTTGACTTATCGTCGATTTCAATTCTGTGTTCTGTACTTTCTGGTTTCTCTTTCTCTCTCTCTCTCTTTCTCTTTTTTCTTCTCTTTCCATATTGCTAGATACGTTACATTTTTTCCAAAGCACTCGATTTTACGGTATCATTTTACGATCTTTTTTTGGTTTCATTTTTCCCACTGACGAACAAAATTGTTCTTTTTTTTTCTTTTTCTCTCTTTTCGTTTTGAAGAAACATACTCACTAGTGAAACGTTACCCGTTTGAAAAAATAACACGGACCAGGAGATGGATTCATTCGCGTTGTATCATATTTGTTTAAAACCTATTGCCTATACGCGTTTAATTTTCTATCAATATATCGATAAATGAAAATATTAAAATTCTTAGCGTATTTTTTGACGATACTATAGATTCGTTAATATATTTGAAGAAATATTTAACAAATGTAAACTTTCAAGATAAAAACTTCCTTATTTGTAGATAAAAACTTGCTGATTGAACAGGATGTACAGAAAAGAATTAAATTGGATCTACAGTGAAAAAATTAAATCGGTACATTATGGATAAAGGATATTTTTCTCTTTTATTCCTTGTTAAAGAGTTACGGATGGAGATTTCACATTACCAATAGTAATAATAATAAAGCAGAAAAATAATATTTTACGATACTTATGTCTATTATCATAACTATTCCAGTATAATGAAAAGATTTTACATACATATTTTCACGTTATAATTAATTCGAATAAAACATAAGAATCGTAAGAATTCGTTTGCTCGTTTAAACAAGGATCGTTACGTTCTTCGTAGAAATGCGTACCTTATGTAGATTAAAACATTTTCTTTTCTTTTTTCTTTTTTTTTTTTTTTTTCTTTTTTTTTTCTTTTTTTTTTTGCTACTCCTCTTGCTTCTTTGTTAGCAGAAATTTTCCTTTTCCGTGTCTGTATACGTACGGACGTCAAAGCGAACATTTTTGTTAATTCACACGCGACTAAGAATAATGCGCTTGAAAGAAAAAAAAAAAAAAAAGAAAAAAAAAAAAACAACAAAAAAGAAATAAGATAAAGCTTTCGCAAGCTTTTCTTTCTCTCTTCGTTTTCGAATAATTTCTCTCGTTATTTTACTCGGTAAAAATCTTCACTTGTGTTCGTACCATCTTGTCTTAAATTTTTTTTAAAGATCTTCAAGAAGATGTAATTCCATGAAAGTTTTTACAAAAGAGCGATCAATCACTTTACTTTTCGATAAACAACGTCGACTGAGATGGATAAAATCCAACGCTCCTTTTCGTTTATTCGTAAGATACTCACGTTAAGCTCGTTGTGAAAGTCACATTCTTCGATCATCGAAAATAAGAAGCTACTTAGAAGCGGCTCAGTAGAATCTCATTATGATGGTGTCGGAAATGTGAACACTGAATCATGAATTTATGTGACACGAGATAGAAAATATAACTGAAAGGGACAGATGAATAAGGAGACGATAAAATTTATGGAATGAAAGGTGAGGAAAGAATGAAGGCAAAAAGAAAAGAATAGGAGAAGATAGAAGAGATATAAATTCTTAAAAAAAAAAAAAAAAAAAAAAAAAAAAAAAAAAAAAAAAAAATTAAAAAGATTTAAGTAGTCGAAAGATACGAACTCTCGTTTAATTGATCATTAAATTTTCTTTAAATGTCAAACATAAGTATTATTATAAATTTGTAAAAATGTAATTTAATCGAAATCCTTGAATATTCGTTTCTATCGATATAGTCAAGATTTCAATCGCAAGTGTAGAAATTAATTAATGAACTTATGTGCATATGCGTACACACCATATAGGGGGAGGGGGAGAGTAGTATATGCGTAGAAAAGAATATGCACAGGAAGAGCCGACAACGGGACGATAAAATATTTGGAAAAAAAGGGGGAAAAGAATAGATAAAAAGGATATTATATAGCGGAGTTTTTTCCACCGCACAGTTTCAATTACATATTCTTCTTTCGTATATTTCTTTTTTCTTTCTTTCTTTCTTTTCTCTCTCTCTCTCTCTCTCTCTCTCTCTCTTTTTCTCTTTCTCTCTTTTACGCATACTTTTGTGCGAGTAGAAGGGATGCCCGAGCGAGCCAGATTCGCTCGAATTTTAATCAGCCTCGGTCGGTCGGTTGTGTTCGGTTGGGTCCGAGTTTGCGTTCACGTGGTTAAAGGTCGGCCCATTCCCTTTCACGCGCTTAGAAGCTCCAGCAAAAAATCTTAATTAATTATTCGACGTTATTGTCAACGTGAGAGTCGTCCGAAAGTTGAGCAGAAACGTGAAAGAGAGAGAGAGAGAGAGAAAGAGAGAGATTGTGAGAGAGAGATTGTGAGAGAGAAAAAGAAAATACATAGAGTGACGTAATGTGCCTCTCACATGAGCTCGTTTTGTTTTTTCTTCGTATAAATCTGCGTGAGAGAAAGAAATAGTGAATCTAGCAAGCGGTTGCTGCTTTGCTTTTGATTTTCGCGCTAGTTTTCGTTATTGATCGAAGAGAGAAGAGCACATTTTATGCGGCGAAGATCGACGGCAGACGATCTATCAATGTCTCTGTGACAAGACTTTACTAAATCGTTGACCCATGTGGCAAGTAAAACTTTAGTGAAATATTGTTGCATGGTATCGTCTTCTCTCTCACTTTCTCTCTCTCTCTCTCTCTCTCTCTCTCTCTCTTTCTTTGATCTTTTTTTGTTTCTTCACACCTTTTTTTCGATCTCGTCGATTGACAAAGTTACTCGTGGTTTCGAAAGTTGTATAACTGTATACTGTATATTACACTGTTAGCCTTTCGAAGATTAATCGTAGCTCTCGCCATAGTAGTTTCATGAATTTATATAACAAAACTAAAGGTAGCGTGGATCTCGTATCATTGTTTTATGATATCGTAAGAGTTCGTTTCACGTAGATACTGTTGTTCCAAACGAGTTTCGTACGAAGTTTTTTAGTCGGTCCATTTCAACGAAAAACAGATGTAATAAACACCTCGGATGTATCGTAGCCAACAAAAGTTTGTGATAATAATTAAAAATGAACTGTTAACGTTCGTTTATATATTTATATAATTCATCATTCAAGTGAAACGTTTGAAATGAGACACGAGTCTTTGTCAGTCAAATAAATTCACATAAGATTTTTAATTCTTTTCTTATGGAGTTTCGAATATAGATTCATGAAAAAATTGATTGAATAATGTATACGGTATGAGTGTACAAAGAGTTAAATTTTTACGTGGAATGATTGTCCAAAAGGTAATAGCTCTTCTGAAATAACAACAGTACGCAAGTGTATTTTAAAAAATTTTATTTATTTTTAATTTTAGTATACATATATATATATATATATATATATATATATACATATATACTATGTATGTATAAACATGTATAAACATGTTAGTAAAACACACAGTTAGTTTTTTGTTAATATAATCACTGTCCTTATTTAAACATTTTTCGTAACGTGAGATGAGTTTTTATATATCTTTGTCATATATTTCCGCTATGAGCTCACCATCCACGATTTAACATGGCATAAAGATGGTTCTACGCCATCCTTTAAATCATAGTTTTCTGCGAAGCGTCACGTCCTAAAAGCTCTTTCATTTTTACAAAAGGATGATAATCGCACGGAGCCAAGTTCAAACTGTAAACAGTATATTTCAGTATCTCCCATTTAACAAAAAATTTTGGATCTTTAGATTATCCACTTATTTGTCGACGTTATTTTTCATTCTCATCGCCATTTTAAATGTATAAAACAACGACAATATTAATTATTTAAATTAATATTTTAATAATTTAATTTTTAATTTTAAAAAATTCTTGTTATATTTTATCTAAATCTATGAGTGAAGTTAGATAAGTTTTTACAAGCACAAGTTTCATTGTTTAATATACGTGAAAATTTATCAAAGGATCTCATAAATGTTTATAATCAATTTAGTATTAGAATTAAAGAGAATGTTTTTCTTTCTTTAGAATTCATTGTACTATCGGAGCAGGATGCAAGGACAACGGGAAGTGCATGAGAGCGGGCAAAAATGGAGTGCAATTCGGTCGAATCGAATTGGTGCCTCGTGAGTTACGATCGACGCTCCCGAATTCATCCATCGTCGAAGATACTCGCGAGCGTCATCGAAGAAGACGATGCACGGGAGCGTTGACGATTATCAAAGGTCCGGCTCAACCGGACTATCCACTTGAAATTGGTACATTTGAATTCGTATTCAATTAATAGATAATTATTACCAATTAAAAATATTCATAGATATCTATTGAGAAAACTTATTCAATATGATCACGGATAATTAGACATACCTAATTTCATTAATTAATCGATATTTGATCCTAAATTTAATTACTTTATCAAACAATTAAAATATTCAAGATTATTTATAAATTATAATATATTATTTATATAAAAGTTAGAAGATTTAGATTATTTCGTTTACATATTGATCGGGAATAATTTCTTTAATAAAGGATAATACTTTAAGAAAGTCCATTTTGTTAATGTTTTCATATAAATCAAAAGAAATTTATTTGATAAATTTCTACCTTAGCAGAGACAACCCTGATGAAAGGGATAGAAGACGTTGGAGAAGGACAAGTGTCTCGCATAGAACTAGGAAGAAAGATTTTCGTTTTTTTGAAGAGCAACCAGTCGAAAGCCGTCGTGGAAAGGCGAGCACCTGTCGGCGAATGTGGTGGTGGTGGGAGAATGGAACACAAACAAACAATTCTGCTGGCGCCAGCACTCAGCAACAGTAGTTGCTGGCGAGCCGGCAACTCCGAAGCGATCTGGACCGCGCCAGGATTCGGGGAATTGTTACGAGCAACTCTGATCTTGGTACTCAGCCTTGGTATACTTTTTGCTAACCTACTCGTTATTTGCGTCATCAATAGCAGGCGATATAGCAAATACATTCACGCACAGGTAAGAATGACTCTCATTATTTTCAAATTGATATGATATGATATGATATATATATATATATATATATATTTATTTATTTATTTATATATTGATTCAGATGTGGAAATTTTATATATTTATTTTTTATAAATATCACATATGTTAAATGTAATCAATAAGAAAGTTTCAATGGTGTTATCATTAGGTATGGATTTATGAAAAAGATTAAAGCGCAATAAGGATTGATAATAGATAAAGTTGCAAAGGAATAAGTTAAAAGGAATAAGGGATCGTATTCTTTTATACTTTTGAGGTCGTATCTTATATATCTCTAATCCTTTCATTGATGTTTCTATAATCTATTCGCGTTACGTCAATAGAATATATATGATGTTCACGAATTGAGAGTACATTAAAATGTAAATTATCCTGCTAGTATAGCTTTTCGATCGAAGTTTTACGAAAGAGTACAATTTTTTAACGAAACGGATAAAGTCGATTATTTTGTATATATTATTACGTTATTTTCATCGATTTTTTTATTAGACAAAACAATGTTGATAACGGGAAACTATACGATAAAGGATGTATTTGAAATAATGTTGAGGTTGTAAAAGGAATTTATATCGAGAGCTTAATAAATCAAATCTGGTAATCGAAACTTCAAGCTAAATTTAACCGTATCGTACAGTGATAAATCAAAAATTTTCATATCGATCTAAACGAAGAAAAATGATTAAGTAAGAGAGAATAAATCCATTAAAGAAATTGACGCTTCCCCTCGGCGTTTTGCCGCGTATTTGTTCTCACAGAGTGTCTCTTCGATCGTTGTCATTTTACCTTTTCATTTTTATTTTTTTTTTTTTTTTTTTTTTTTTTTTCTAAACTCGTATAAATCTTATTCTCTGATTGAGAATGATGGAAAATCACGAACGTCATTAAATATCATAGAAATTCGTAGAATTCTGTGCTCGATTCCATGTGAATAAGTAAGAACAGCATTTAACAATATCGAGATTTTAGACATAAAAGTTAGACATTTAGCTCAGTTATACAGTCTATTCATAGACTTAGGATGAAAACATCGTAGACCAATGATATGTCCCTATATTGGAAAAGTATCGATCACTGATATATAGGTGGTAAATTAATGGGAAATCCATAGTACGTAATTTGTTCGACGAAGTAGAACGTATAGTATCTAAATATCGACACATTATGAATATTAAGATATTTTTCGCTCGATAGAACACCGATATTATCGCGTGTTCTTTATCGAGATAGCGATCCTGATTTTTTTTTTTTTTTTTTTTTTATTCTGTATGAACACCGAGATACGTCGCCCTTGATATTCATAGATTTCAACGTTATTTCGAAATACAAATCTGTGTCATAAATATTTGAATGATAGAAAGCTTGTAAATTTTATCGATATTTAGATGCATAAATATAGATCGAAGAGATGGGATCTTTTACAATATGTATTAGATTGTTTCAGAACTTTTCTCATATATTTTTTTTTTTGGATAAAATGAATATTGTTATAATTTTTTTTTTTTTTTTCGAACAAAGTTATTCAATGTTCCATTATTAATAACTTTAAATGCTTTTTGATGGAACATAGGCGAAAGAAAATTTATGCGATAAATTAATACAACAAAGAGAAAAAGTTGGTTAGTTTGTTTGTTTGTTCGATAGGTTATTCGCCCTTCGCCGTCTCTCGTACGAATTTCTTTTTAACGATGGATAGATAAATATATTTGAAAATGCGGTTATCCGCCAATGATCACGATTATAATCGAAATCTACTCGTTCGTACGAAACCTGTAAATCTTTTGTTTTTACATCCTACCGTGAGCCAAACGCAAATTTATTTTTGAATTTGTCTCACTGTCGATTACGTTTTAGTATGGCACTAACAGCCCATGGCTTGACAAACAAACAGTTTTGAAACGAATCGAGTATTACGATTTGAGAGATCCCTTCACGTAGCTAGATTGTATTGGTTAGATAACTTTTAAAAATTTGTGAAAATTTTGACGAACACGTGAAAAAAGAAAAAAAAAGAAATAACGAATGTACAGTTATCAAATAGATATGTATATATGTATAAAACAATTTTCTGCTTTCTAAATTGCCTCGTTTTAAGGTCTTTTTTTTTTTTTTTATTTTTTTTTTTAATCGGACCGATAAAAAGATTATTTAAATATTATTTATCGTTCGTTTAACATTATGCAGATCTTCAATAAGAGAAAATTAATTGTTAGAAATAGACAATACGTTTATTAAATACGTTGTAAATTTCCATTTGATGAAAGAGAAATGGAAAAGGATTTATTTACAAAGCCCGAGGTATTATCTGTATACCGTTCTTTCCTTTTTACGATCGATGAATTATTATTCCATCGAATTCAAAAACGTTTTGCGAATTGTAGAAAGATTTTCGTGGTTGATGGTAGAACATAGAAGATTCATTTTCCACGAGTGAAGTCAGGGATTCGGCCGAATGCACGCGAATTTCAAGTTTCCCCGTTTTGTTCCGTACGATCGGACAAGAATTTCACGATCGACTTTACGTTAATTGGATTCAACTTGGAGAATTATCTGCATCATCGAACGGATGTCCATTGCGTGTAAATTTGAATTTTTATCTGCTCAATCCTCGTATCTCTCAACGTTATTTTTTATAAAAATTCAAAGTCTTTTGTTTAATCCTTTGTTGTTTTTTTCCCTTAAAAAAAAAAAAAAAAAAAAAAAAAAAGAAAAAGAAAAAAGAAAAAAGAAAAAAGATTAAATAATAGAAAAAAAGTAATATAAATCGAATGTTGTATTAGGTGTGTAATATTTATGAACCATTCAAGAACTTAGAGAAAGTTTTCTCAAAGTTAACGAAAAGTAAAAATAGTAGTTATCAATTGTGAATCAGAGACCGATCAACAGGTTTTCTTAAACTTCATTACAGCCAAGATATCTGCTGACGAGTCTAGCGAGCAATGACCTCGCCATTGGTCTCCTGGTGACTCCCTTTGGCTTTTTACCGGCGGTTTATGGATGCTGGCCTTACGGCGAAGTCGTCTGTCAAATTCAG